ACCCCAAAACCCCAAAACCCCAAAACCCCAAAACCCCTAGGATGTTTCTGCAAATTGAACTTGAGTAATCGCTTTTATCTGTTTCTGTTACTGAACAGTAATGTCTTCACCAACTCATCCTTCTTTCTTCTGACCTTCTTTTCGCCTACCATTGTAGAACTCTTAGTTTTGTTTAAGGACTTTCTGCGTCTCTTGTTAGTAGGGGTCACACTTTGAGGTGTCACCGAGCCATTCATGTTGGTAGTAAATTTCTTGTCAGGGTAAGGATCATTAGAGTCGAAGGCGTTCCATAATCTCGAAGATTTCACAGCTTTGAGAGGTGACTGATTGTTTGAACCCAGAGACTGTCTCATTTTGGACAAGCCTAGCCTATGATTCATGTTTTCCCTTTTTATCTTTTGATCAACACTAGTTGAACGCTCATCTCTTTGATTTCTTTGTTTTGTACTCATGTATTGTAATTCTTTCTGCAATCTCACATTCTTTCCAAATTCAGCGGTAGTGTTTATGGTACTGTGGTATTCTTCGAGAGGGTTTGTGTAGGCTCTTACTAAGGTATTTTTCATGTGAGAAAGTTCTGGAGTCAGGCATTCATCGTTTCTCGGCTTCTCTTCTGATTCATCAATTCCAGAAAGTCTGCTTTCAGCGCCAGTATCTTCGTAATCTTCCTCATCATCATACTTGTTCTTGATGGGGCTTAGCTTTTCGAACTCTTGGTTGATGCCATTATGGATGACTTCTCTTTCAAATTTGTCTTGGATACTATCTGAAAATATTCTGAAATGATCTCTGAGTCTCTCTTGAAGTGCAATGAATGCTTCAGAAATTTCGTCGCAGTGGTCATGGATCCTGTTGTCAACCTTTTTAATATATCTACTGACCGTTTTCTCGTTGACATTATCGAACTCATTGAGCTCCTCTAATTCCTCCTGCCTTGTTTTCTCAAGAGGGCCACTTGGAATGGAACTGAGGTCGTGCATCAAGGTATCATTTTCTCTAGTAGTATGTTCAACCTGCTGGTTTAGCTTCATCGTCTCGTTGTTGTTCTCTGTGGTCATGTAATCTAGCCTATTCTTGAGCTCATTTTCTTGCGAGTGCAAATCCTTGATTCTGTCGCTCATCTCTTGGTTCTTTTCATTCATTTTGTCAATATGCTGCAGCATTCTTGTGACTCAGTCATGATTGCCTTGCTCTTTGCGGAGAATTTCAAATCCTCAGGAGTTTCAAGGGACTATCTGATAGTCTCACATCTTCAAGTGTGGTTCAAGTTTGAACGCTGGAATCCTTTGATAGCATCCCTTGTTCGGGCAAAAGAACGCCTGGGAGGGACAAGACTTCTCGTGTGATAAAATATCCTTCAGTAGGAAACTTTCATTGCAGCCATACTCTTCATATTTGCACTTAATTGTCAATGTTTTGTTGATTTTATTCTTCATGTATTTATTTATAGTGTAAAGGGAGCTGTCCTCCTTTCCCTTTTGTCAATCGTTGGGGCACAATTTCCTCTTGATACAATCAAAGCAGTAGTAAGTAGCACATCTTTTGCACTGAGTTGGTTTATATAGGATCTTCATTCAGATTCCACATAAGTATTCCATGAGTTCTTGCGGTGGATTCAGGAATCTTTCTACTTCAAAGCCAGCCATTTTCAGTTATTTTATTTAAATGATTATCTTTCATCATACAAGGGAATATGAGGGGTTTTGGGGTTTTGGGGTTTTGGGGTTTTGGGG